AAGTAAAGAAAAACCTAAACAACGCCATAGACGCGCCCGTTGGGCGCATTTTGTGCCTTTCACGTGTTGGTGACGAGATGGGCTTGTTCTTCAGTGGGTCCCACATTTCTGCAAAATCTTGAGTCTTTGTAGGAGGAACTCAAACCATATCTCTCTTCCTTCTCTTTCTTCTAAGGTGACAAAAAACTCCTCAAAAGCTATGATAATTTACTAATCGGATGCCCTTAAAAATATAATACCAATTATGACCAGTCGTTGCGCAAATTTTGATTCAAATCATCCCTATATATGATATTAATAACGGCCAAGACAAGGCACAATCGTGGTCAAGATAAAGAAGCCAAGATATCTCACAGAATCGAGGACAGATAAGGGAAAAGTCAAATTCTCTCGAAGTGAACAGATATGAACGCCTTATCCCCATTATGCTCATATCTCAACAAATAGAAATATGTCCAAGGTCAACTCATTTGTGCTAATATTCGTACATTCTTGTGTTCATATCTTATAGTGGATATGGATGTGGATCCCAAGCCGCCACGCAGAATGGGGTCATGGGGATAACTTTGCTGTACGCCAACTTAGAATAGAATGTGGACAACTTTAATTTTATGTACACTTGAAATTATTATCATTTTTTTTTACTTGATTTAGGATCCAATTTTAAGTAATAAATCTTATTTTCATGAGCTGTACTTACTTCAAATAAAAGTAAGGTTTGGAGGAAATTCTCACTATTATAAAATAACAAAATATTTATAAATTTAGTAATAGATTAAAGAAATAAGGGTCAAATAGTCCATCAAATTTATAAAATTAAAAAAAAAATACAATTAAATCCTTGAACAACGTAAAATTATGCAATTAAATCAAAAGTGACATGTTCTCTGTTTACCTGTTGATGACTGATGTGGCAGCTACATATTAAAAAAAAATTATTTTAATAATTTTATTTTAAAATTACAATTTAAAAAAAAAAAAAAAAAAAAAAAAAAAAAAAACCTCGCAGGCAGCAGACCTTCATTTCCAGGCTGCCGGAGACGAAGAGTCCCTCATTCATCTCCAGCAGCCTCGAGACGAAGACCATGAGGTTTTTTTTTTTAATTTAAATTTAAATTGAAATTTATTTTTTAAATAATTATTTTTAAATTTAGTAGCCGCCATGTCAGCTATCAACAGGTAAACAAGTCACTTTTGATTTAATTGTATGATTTTGCGTTGTTCACATAGACGGAGCCAGAGGGGGGGCAGGGGGGTTAGCTGCCCCCCCTCACCCCACCCCACCCCACCCCTACCCTACCCTATATTGTATATAATATGTATATATAGTACATTATTCATATAAGTATTATAAAACAGATTATGTAAACAAAAGTTGTGATAGACAAGGTGATAGCTAATGTGTATGAGTTTTGAAATGACTTGGGTTCGAGTCTTTGCATTGACAATGTCACAGTCTTCTTCACTTTTTTTATTAACACAATTAAATTTTGGCATGATATATATAACTTCCATTATAACTTTCTTTATATTAATAATTGAATGTGTAATTTATAATGTGTTTTATATTCGAATTGTTTTATCAAATTAATTATGTTTCATATTTTATTATAAATATTTTTATAAAGTTTTAATATGTTTTATTTTTCGCTATATCCAACAATATTTATTGTTATACTTTCTAAGTATTTCATTTTTTTAAACTTTCTCTTTTATTTTAATTTTTTTCCCTCACTAAACAAAATTTCTGAATCCGCCATTGAATCCATCCTTACTTCTTTGCCCCCCCTCAACATATTTTCTGGCTCCGTCCCTGGTTGTTCAGGGATCAAATTATAATTTTTTTTAGTTTAATAGCTCAATTGTAGTTCGATGGCTTATTTGACCCTTATTCTTGTTTTAAATAATAACAGTTTCCTTTCAAAAATAATAATAATAACCGTTTAAAAATTTATGGATTTCAATAATTTGTTTATAAACTTTTCTATAGGTTTGATTTTTCATGTGGTGTGTGTATTGGTTTTTTAGTTATTTATTTTTTATTTTATTTGTGCATGATTAGTTGATTTTATCCTTAGTAATTAACTTTTGTAAATATATTTGTTGGTTGTGTTATGGTGTATTTTTTAATCATTAATGCTGTGTAACTTGTGTTTTTTGTGTTTTATCCTTAACATTCTATTTGCTTCAATCAACCATTTTCAAACGGATATGAATTTAGTACAATTTTGCAGATGTTACCCAATATTATGGACAGGAAATGTCAGGGAATTAATGATAAAGGCAGGGGAGATGGTAGCTAAGAGTAAGAAAAATACTTGATGTACTTTCATTTTAAACTACTAACTTGTACTCTCTCTTACATGTTTTTGATGTAGACACTTTTCAGTGATTCCACATGATGAAAATAACCAATCTTGATTTGTCACCTCAGGAAGTATAAATGAGGGAGTATAATTTTGGGAGTCTATATAGTAGAACTCTAGGACTAAGGACTAAAAATAAAATAATGGGTAGTAATTAAAAATGAAACATAGGGATCAAAATAATAAAGGCAAATTTTCTTGTATGTGAGATTGTCTCACGGTCTTAATCCGTGAGACGTACGGGTCAAGTAAGGAGAATTTGAGTATTATATTATGATGATTATATATGTGCTTAGTATTATAATTTCTTGCAAAATGTCTATGATAATTTTGTTTGTTATAAAGTGCTAGAATTATACTACTATAATAATGTCTACAAACCTAATAAGAGCTAATAAAGTTAGGCTATAACGGAAACTAAAAAATGTTGCTGTAATTGTTTTGTTGAAATGAATGGTTCATATTATTTTGATTTTAGTATTTTTATTATTACTTTTCCTACTTTACCCTCGATTATATCATTTACGTTTCTTAAATATCTCTACATTCCGTCAATGTAAACTTTACTAACAGAATATTCCGTTAAATATTTATTATTCTTAGCTTACTTATGATTTTCATAAGGAATGTCTTAGGTTCGAACCTCATCTCAATCAAAATTGCAATGTTGCAAAAATCGCGCCTAGGCGCTAGGCGGTCGGCCACCTAGGCCGTCCCAGGTGCTTAGTGATTTTTTCAACCTTGCAAATTTGACATAATTGTTAAACACATACTATGAATATGTTAGAGTGTATTAAAAATGAACAATATAAAATTTAACATGAACTTTGGTCAATTAATTAGAATCATGCATTGGACATTGATGATACGGTACATCTAATTTACAATATATATTCAACACATATGAGAATTCTGTTTTTTAAGGTGCATTGCGCCAATGCACTAAAATTGCAGTGAAGCACACTAGGGGACTAGATTAAATCAAGAATTCATTTTTTACGGAAGTGACAACAAGAGGAAGCATGGATCACGCCAATTAATAGGATTTTGTATTGCAAAAATTATGCATGGGTACTATCTAGTGAGGGTGTTTCTCTCTAAAACTGTTATTGCACCAGTTAATTTTATGAAAAAATTATGCTACAAGTCATAGTTATGCATTCATGAAATATTTGATAATCTTGCATTGATATACGCCTTTTTCAACCTAATGAAGAACACAAAATCAACAACGCCTCTACTGAGGCTCAATCTCATGTCCTCCCACATGGGAGAGGTCACTACATGTCATCTAGCACAAGGTGCTTGGCAATTAGTATATTATATACAAAGCTTAATGTATTGATTATTATATCTACAATTCTTGTATACAATGACTTTTTATTTCCTGCAAATTGTCTATTATTGTTTTCATATAAAATATTGCATTTATGTTATAAAGTATATTATATATAAGGTTTAAAGTATTGATAATATTTGTCATTCTGTTATGTTATTACTTTATTGCCTACAAAATGTGTATTACATTTATGCATAAAGTATTGATTATATTTGTCATTCTGCTATGTTATTACTTTATTACCTACAAAATGTGTATTACATTGCAGAGTTATATAACGCTTAAAATATTAATTTTTCACAATTTTGTTATTTTATTACTTTATTTTCTACAAATTGTCTTTAACAGTTTTGTTATAAAGTAATATATTTATAATATAAACTAATATATATAAGGTCTAATATATTGATGATATGTGTAATGATATTTGTAATTTTTTTATATTATTATTTATTCTTTTATTCTCTACAAATTTTTTTTTTTTATATAGTTTTGCAATTATGTTATGACTCAATTTAATTAGATCTGATCCGTCTTACAGATTGAGATCAAATTCGTTAGACGATTTTACATATATAAAACTAACCCAATAATTAATCATTTAATCGTACATAATTTAAGAATAAAAGTATAGTTTTCACATTGATTTTAAGCAGATTAAAAAATTTTATATGTATATATGAATTAACTAAGACCCTGAATCATGGAGTTTGTTATGGTCTATAGGAAAAGGTTGAGAAATATTGATTATTAGAAACAATCATGACTCATAAACGACAAATTTTAATCTATATTTAATAACATGATGACGCATAACCCATATCATACTCTAATTATCCCAATAAAAAAATAGAGTAAATACCCAAAATGGTCCCTCAACTATAGCTAAATTCACAAATTGGTCCTCGACTTTCAATTTTAACCAATTAAGTCCTTAACTTTGCAATTTTAACACGATTTGGTCCTCCGTCTATTTGACCGTGATCTCCGAGGATATATATGTAATTTCATCGCCGCCCGCCCTCATCCGCTGCCGTGACACAGTCTATCTCCCAGCCACAAGTCATTGTCCAGCCGCCCTCATTTACTGCCATGATACACTCCATCGCGTAGCCTTCACCTACTGTCACGACACAATCCACCGCCCAAACACCTTCTCATAATTCATCATTGCCTGCGCTACAACCCAATTTTCAACCTTCACCAGGTCCAACGCGTGTCTGAGTCTACTGGGTGGCGCCGCGATTCTCGTGTCCAACAAGAAGCGCGATTCAGGTCGAGCCAAGTACCAGCTCATGCACGTGGTCCGCACGCACAAGGGCGCCGACGATAAAGCCTATCGCTGCGTTTACGAGCAGGAAGATCCGCAAGTGAAAGTCGGAATCAACCTCTCAAAAGACCTAATGGTGATCGTCGACGAAGCCCTGAAATCCAACAGAACCACAATTGGCCCGCACGTTCTCCTGCCATCGGAGCAGCTCCTCTTCCTCTTCACCCTAATCGACCGGAAAATCTTCAATCCCAAATGGAAACCCTACATTCCCGACTTCAAACAGGACTTTGAACACTTCTGCATCAACACCGGCGGCCGCGCCGTCATCGACGATCTCTAGAAGAACCTGCAGCTCTTGTCGGAGCATGTGGAGGCCTCCAGGATGACGCTGCACCGATTCGAAAACACGTCGTCTTCTTCACTTTGGTACGAACTCAACTACATTGAATCCAAAGGGAGAATGAAGAAAGGCGACAGGATTTGGCAGATTGCTTTCGACAGTGGATTCAAATGTAACAATGCGGTCTGGAAATGCAACCGGAACCTTAAAAAACCGACAATGGACCATGAAATTACATATATATCCTGAAAAATCACAGTCAACAAACTGTCAAATAGACAGAGGACCAAATCGTGTTAAAATTGCAAAGTTAAGGACTTAATTGGTTAAAATTGAAAATCAAGGATCAATTTGTGAATTTAGCTATAGTTGAGAGACCATTTTGGGTATTTACTCAAAAGAATATAATGACTTTACAAATATCAATAATGTGTTAAAAGGTTTCTCAATGTAATTGATATTTTTTCATACAGTCAACCATGGAATAGTGGGTCAAAACTGCCACACATGTTGAACTAGTATATAATAAATGAATAATGAATAATTGTATATTGGAAAAATAACTATTTTAGTCTACTAAGAATACCTAACTTAGCCCTTTAATGATATATATCCTATTTAGTCTATAAATTGTTTGTTTGGTGGTAATTTTAGTTTCTCATTTCAGATATTTGTTAAAATTAATAAAGATAAAAAAGTAAATATGTAAAATTTTCAGTTTCCTCCCAACCCACACATAAAATAAGTGAAAACATATTTTAAGTAAAATATATTATACATTAGTCTTTTTTTTTTTATTTATTTTAGTTTTTTCATAATTATTTTGAAAATATTTAGCTATAGGATTATTTTTATTCGCTGAGCAGTATTATGCTTTTCATAAAAGTTATTTTTTACTTATTTAATGTGTGCTTTGTAATGAAATTGATGAATTTACTTATTTATTCTTTCATCACGGTTACTTTCAACTGCTATTTGAGGTGAGGGACTAAATGACCACCAAACAAATCAAACAATTTAGTGACTCAATAAGATCAAATATATAATTAAGATCAAACCAGGACTATGTGGTCTAATGGTACTCGGGTTGGACTTCCATTTGGAAGATTATGAGTTTGAGTCTCAGTGGAGGCGTTATTGGTTCTTTGTGTTTCAGTAGGTTGAGAAAAGTATATGAACAGATACTACAATGTAATAGAGCCAGTAACTTTCAAAAATATATATACATATATATAAGATACTACAATGTAATAGAGCCAGTAACTTTCAAAAAAAAAATATATATATATATGGAAAGAGAGAGTTCCATTTTTGGTCCTACTATTATATGGATTTTTCCAATTTTAGTTCACCATAATTTTTTTTTGCCACATTATGGTGGATTAAAATTAGAAAGATCCCTATATCAGTAGGACCAAAAATGAAATTCACTATTGTATAAATTATTAATGTATATGCATGGTTGTATTTGAAAGACAAATTTTAGCCACCTTAGCTTATAGTGTACATTCTTTAAAAATATTCATCTCTTTATGGTTAACATTATGGTGATTATTAAAGATTGTTTTAAGTAAAACAATGCTAACCTAGTATAACGTCACTATCAATTTTAAAGAAGACATACAATAAAACCTATCAATTATTTGGTATAGAGGATTTCTAGAAATATATACAAATTAAATGACTCAAAATTTCTTTAAAAGACTATGGATGTTTGATACAGTGCTGATGTTTGAGCTGTTAGAGGGGTGAAATTGTAGTAGGGGTTAGTGCTATCCACTAGTGAAAGTTTGAATGATTGGAACAATAAATTGTTTCAACCATATATTGAGTCAGGCCAGGTCATATTGCTAAATATAAGTGCTTAGAGAGCTACTGAAACAATGAATTACTTCTTCAATTGCTTTCTCATATGTAATGTAAGACTATATTTAATAGCAGGGTGAAATTAAAACGATTAAAATGATGATAATAAGATTGGAGCAATTCGACCATCATGTATATCCTAATTGCACTGCTTTCATCTGATTCTATTTTGACATTGAAACTCGAATTGTTAAACCAATAGACTACTCTGATCTAATCGTTGCCATCTAAATTAATGCAAATAACCATTTCAAAATAATAACGTTCACAACCATTTCAATCGCTTTTTTCAACAAATCACAATAAAATTCTATTTGCCTATATTTGGCGATATATGTGGCCTCATCTATAGCCCATAATGGCTGACTGTTAGCGGCAAATTATATCATGAATTAGACTCCACATACCATTATGAATCTTGTATAAATTTCATACTTGTAAGGTATATAAAATTTCATAATACAAAACACAAAAAAATTAAATCACAACATAAGATCCATAGCATAGCAAACCAGCTAGCTGGACGGAAAAGATGAAAAAATTAAATCACAACACAAGATCCATAGCATAACATTATGAACCAGCTAGTTGGACGGAAAAGATGAGGTATAGAATCATACTCGTAAGGTACATTATTTCAAAACATAATACATAAAAAATCATAACACAAAAAACATACACATTTTATATATTTACTTACTTTTTCAAATCTGAATTAGGTATATAATTTGTATTTATAGGCACAGAATTTCACAGACACAAAAATTCATAAAATAAGACACAATTATTAATTTATTCCATATACAGAATTCATACTCAAAGTACAAAATTTCATAATATAAAACACAAAAAACTTATAACACAAAATACATATACATGAACTAGGATTCATAGTGTAGTATGAAGTATGAACTGATACATGGTATAAGGATTTACTATTAGCCCCGTGAGCGGCAATTGGCATATATAGCAGTGCTCAAACGCTAATCTACAACAACCCCCCTCCCTCCCCTCCTCCCCTTCCCACCATATAAGCAGAAAGTCAAACATCCTGTTTCCACACTTCTCTGTTCAAACCAATACCATGTACACACTTTGTTCTTTCCCACCTCTTATCTTATATATATACATACTGAACGTAAACCTCTTCCCCTGTCTGCAACTATCTCGGAGATAGTATCTCCCTTAGCTTCTCAACCCTCTTTATTTCTCTTGAAAAGCACGAGTATTCTGCTTGTATTTTTGTTGTTCGGAATTATGCAGAACGAGAGCAAGACTGCGCCTGTAAGCCTGGAGCGAGGAATGGAGGTGGAGGGCAGCAGACGGGAGGTAGTGGCGGTGGCTAACAAGCAAAACATTAGATGGGCAGACTTTCTTTTAAGGCTTTTGGCCTTTGCACTCACCCTTGTGGCGGCCATAGTTCTCGGAGTGGATAAGCAGAGCACGGTTGTCACCAGGCAGATCGTTCCCACCTTGCCGCCGGTCAGCGTTCCGCTCACCGCTAAGTCGATTCACTTGTCTGCCTTCGTGTAAGTAATCCCCAACATATATACCTACCTCTACTTCAATTAACCAATTAAAGTTATTTACAAATTAATTTTTTAAAATATTTAATTTAATATTAGTATATATGTTAAGATCAAGAACTTATTAATCTTTATGTGTTGCCATTCAACACTTTTCCTTTAACATTAGTTAGTGTTAAAGTGCTTTAACTACTCTTGTTGGGATTCGCACCATACTACCTATTAAAATTAAACGTTTACCAGTACGTCAAAATCTATAACTAATAGCAAATGTCACACCTTTATTTTTTGGAATAAGTTTCAAATTGGCCACTGAACATAACCTGAAAATGCAATTAGGCCACTGAACGAAAAAAAAGTGCAATTAGGTCATTGAACACTAAAAAAATGTGCAATTAGGCCACTGGACTCTCCAAACGTATGCAATTTTACCGGATAGCAGGTTGCCATCAATTTTAGCAGGTTACCTACTTACGTGGCAGCTAAGTTGGCATTTTTAATAATTTTTAAATAATTTTTAATAATTAATTTTAATAATAAATTTTATAAAAAATTGAAAAAAATTAAATAAAAATAAAATAAAGTCGTTTTTATTTTTTTAAAAAATTTTTTTAATAAAAATTTATTATTAAAATTTATTTAAAATTAATTAAAATTTATTTAAAATGCCAACTCAGCTGCCACGTAAGCAGATAACCTGCTAAAATTGAGGGTAACCTGCTATCAGGTGAAATTGCACATTTTTGGAGTGTTCAGTGGCCTAATTGCACTTTTTTTTTCGTTCAGTGGCCTAATTGCATTTTTAGGTTACGTTCAGTGGCCAATTTGAACCTTATTCCTTATTTTTTTATACTGTATGTCACACATTTTGACTTTAGCCAACAATTCTCTAGCCACGTGGTGCTGGACTTGCCTTTACCCGCTTCCGCTCAACAATATATATAAAATTTAATTATTTTAAAACTAAAAATTATAAAAAAAAAATGTTAAATAAAATTACTAAACAAGGACGAGTTAAATTGAGTAATTAACAGTAATCCTATATATAATAAAGCTATATGGTCTTGTGAAAATTGAATGTTGCATTTAATTTTCACAAGACCATATGACTTTAAGATGTGAAAGTCTTGTGAAAATTAAATGGGCTTTAAGATGTGAAAATTACTTTAAGATGTGAAAATTAAATGCAACATTTAATTTTCACATTTTAAAGCCATAGGGCTTTAAGAAGCATGCATGCAACCCCAAAGTCCATAAGTTTGAAATTAATATATAACATAGCTATGTGGCTTAATATTTAAGATTGTTGATGTGCATATTGAGGACTACGGAGATAAAAATGCGTTATTCGTGGATTCATCGGATACTATCCAACAACACTCTCCAACTTAATTGACATGAAGTAGGCTTAGTAACATTAAGATTATATTCTCGAATTATTAGTTCTCATCTTTTATTGATTACACACTTAATTCGATAGTATTTGGAAGAAAAAAAATCAATGTTCTAACTAAGATTGTGATTTTGGTCTTTAAAGGTCAATTGTATGTTGCTACATCTAGAGTTAGAAATCTCAAAGGTCTAAAAATTTTGATCCGTGGTGACTCT